GTAGGGGCTAATCTGGGGCCCATACAGACAGCATGTGCCAAGATCAGCAAAGATAAGATCTCAGCACAGAACTCTCTCATCCTGGGGTGTGGGGGGCTGAGTGAGGAGTCTAAGCCTAGCTTTTGAGATCTTTGCCCAGTGGAGACATTCTGCTCTTAGGAAAGCGACCTGGTTGATCGGACAAGAAGAAACAAGCCAAGGTCACAGCAGAAAACCTTTGAAGCGGTCCCATCTGCGGCCCCAGAAGGCCAGTACGTCCACAAAATATGGTTTTCTACGGGAGCCCTGCACTGTGACCTGTGAGAGGTGGCTTCCCTCTGCGTAGCCACACACACAAGCTTTATTCCCTACTAGCTGGTCTTGAATAAACAATTCTGAACAGAAAGCCCCAAACCATCATACTGGCTTTGATAAAATGCTGCTCCTGACCACGTGTAGAACTCTGGATCTAGTGCTGCCTAGTTTCTTCCAATCCCCCAGGAGCCGCAAGGGGACAGTCCCATCAAGGACACATAGGTGCACTCTGGGCTCCCCCAAACGGACAGTAAAGACCGGAGGTGGTAATCCAGACAGCTGAGTCTCCCCTTGGCATCTCTGCCTCGTGTCTGGTCAGTTTTAACAAATGCATGTCCCTGGTGTTTGGCCAGGGTATAGAGTTGTGGAAAGACAGTAGGTACCCCCCAAAATACAGGCTGTTGCCACTACCTTTAACTAGATGGTAAGACCTGTGTTTGAAGCCATCACACACGTATTTGGTTGTAGGATATTGACAAATCAATCTGAACTGACAGAGAAACTTCCTCCCTGCTGGCTAGTGTTCCTACTGCCAAAAGATGCCATGCAAACCCCGGGAGCAGGTTTCTCGCCAGTGATCCTTCCCTGGGGCTGAATCTTGCACGCTACAATACCAAGCTGCCAGGCAAAATGTGCTCATCGGTACAGCAGTGACGTGGCTATTATAGAGGTAGCCAGAAACACTTTCTGATCGGATTTGAGGCCTGCTACAGGAGGGAATTCATGCCCGGTACTGTATGTAAATTTGGTTAAAAACCCATGGTTGGGGAAGCCATAGGCTCTGGGGAAGGGGGGTGGGGCGCTACTACTGTTTGCTTGCTAAATGGTCATGTTGTTATGACTTCCTTCTAAACATGTATGTTTACACCCATAAATTAGTGCTGCTCTAAGCCTTAGTCACAGAAGCTTCTTTTTGTAGCAGACAGCTTGTTTCAAAGACTTATAACTAGTCAATGGGCTGAGAGTAAGTTACCGTGAGTGCTCACCCTTGAGTGGGACATTGTATTAACCTCCCCCTATCCGTGCCCAATCTCAGGGAGTATCTCTGAAGAGGAGGCTGCAAGAGTGTGGAAGCTGGAGTATGGGACGGAGCATGTGAAACTGTGACAGGGACATTGTGCCCGTGAGCTCACTGCGACTGTGCTGTGATAGCAAGCCAGTCAAAGTGCCATCATGGGATGCGGGGAGCTCACGTTTCTGCCACTAACTGAGGGGCCACTGGCAGTTGATGGCGGCTTGGGGGTGGGCGGGGTCAGTTCTCTTTGGATGCACAGTCACTGATACATTTCCCCTGCTCCATTGCATGGCCTCACATCCATTCACATTCAGGCAGCAAAGTCTGGACTCAGCAAGTTATAAAAAACAAACAAAGAAGACATGAGGTTGGAGGGGGGTGCTGGAGGAAGTGGGAGAGATCAGGGGTAGATGTGCCAAAATACGCTGTATACACGTATGAAAATCTCAAATGAATACATGAAAACATTGTGTTTTTTTATGGGAAAGATTCCTGCTCCTTTGGAGACCCAGCTGTGCCTTTTTCTTCGTTTGTCTTGCAGAGTACAAGCTAATGGGCTCCTCTGGTGAGAGGGTGGCCTTCGACTGCTAAGACCCAGTTCCGTTATCAGAGGGCCTCTTCCTGTCTTCTTCTAGAAGACAACTGGCCTCCTTCTTTCTTCCTTATTGGCCATCCCCATGGCGTGTTGGACTAGGCACTGTGGGTCAGGCTCTGTGTGCCGTAACCTCCTTCCCATCTGACTGCCAAAAGAAGCAGCTGAGGAATCGAGGCTACACCTTAACCTTCCCAGCAGATGCTTCTGTGTTTATCACCCCCCACCACACACACACACACACCTCAGGAGAGCTATAAATGGAAATTGTTCATTTGAGCAATCTCCATCCCTTTTGGACAGTCTCAATCCTCTTGCTGTGAAATGTGCTCAGCTCTTCAACCAAATTGCCGGGGATGGCTATGAAGGGAGAAGCCTAGTTTGCATACTTCAAATTAGAAGGATGCAGTAAAGCATGCAGAGTCAGAGACTTAACACCCCCCAAGTGGCGTCAGGCTTGGGGCCCTCAGGGAGGCCGCTGCATGAGGCTTAGTGATGCTGACGCCTCAGAGAGGCACCTGTAAAGATTGTCTAAATTAGTATCCAATGTGAACATTTTCAAGGGAGCATCCTTTTTATCTGGTGTGCTAGAGGCAGCCGCCTCGCCTTGGGCCAGCTCCTGCCAGCCCTCGGGTTAACAGAAAAGGAGGACTCCTAAGCTAAGCTCTCTCTTTCCCATGCTGAACCACCTCTGCAGCAGGATTCTGCCTGCCACCCACTTCCTCAGCGAGCTCAGCTTCCTTGGAACTCCTAGGCAAGCAGAAAACTCCGGAAACTGAAACCATGGAAGTTACTAAGTTCCCAGAGGAGCTTGGACCACCCAGAACCTAAACCCACTGATAACTGACCGAATGACAAGTCAGGAAAAATGGTCTTTGGTGAGCAAGCATTTCTGAGGTCGAGGCGTGTTTTCGCTTGACCGAGGACACTTGCAGTTCAGTTTGGTGGGGGAGTAAAGTAGCATTTGGAATGGGAGGGAAAAGTGGTACAGTTTTCTCCCCAGGAGGACGCTGCAAAAAGACAGTGGCTGTCCGAAGCTCCAGGGAAGATTGATCAAGGACACTGCCCTGCCCTGCCCTGTTCCCCTCAGGCAGTTTGAGGTCCCCAGGGACTCACCCCCTCAGCAGCCATGCCACTGGACAGCTAAGTCACAATATTTTCCACATGCTTTCTCTTTCAGAAGCTCAATCTCAGACTTGTGGTGACAGGGATTTTTAATTAGGCTAGCAAAGTTTCATTGTTTTTTAAAAGTCCTGATGGCCCCTGTTTTTGATTAAAAACACATGGGCAGAAGACAGCCAGCTCCTTCACTTCCCCTCTTTGTAAAAGGACGGTGGCTGAAAGACGACTCAGTTTGCCTCTCTCTCTCTCTCTCTCTCTCTCTCTCTCTCTCTCTCTCTCTCTCTCTCTGTGTGTGTGTGTGTGTGTGTGTGTGTGTGTGTGTGTTTGTTGTTGTTGTTCTTTTTTTTTTCATTTTCTTGTCTGTGTATGGGGGTGGTATGTGTGTTTATGGGTACATGCATATAAGTGTGTGTCTACAAGTCCAAGATTAAAGAATTACCTTTAATGGCATTTCTACTGTTTAACAAGGCAGGGTCTCTCAGTTAAACCCGGAGCTCACTAACTGATAAGCTCTAGTCTTCCTAGCCATCTTGTTCTGAGGACCCTGATGTCCACCTTCTGAGGCTGGAATTACAGGTAAGCCACCATGGCCATCTGGTTTTGTGTGTGTGTGTGTGTGTGTGTGTGTGTGTGTGTGTGTGTGTGTGTATGCACGCGTGCGTGCGTGCATGTTTCTGAAGATTCCCAATTCTGGTCCTTAAGTTAGTCAGGAAGAATTTTTACCTCTCAGCCATCTCCCTGGCCTTGCTGGGCAGTTTTAAAGTGGCCACCTCATCTCTCTGCAACCCGAGAGGAGTGCTCACATCCCTGTGACCTGTGCAGGTTTGCTGTTTGGTGAAATCCAGGGGTAATAAAAATGCTGGCAGAGCAAAGCTCTGGGCCGTCGGAAGCCCCATCCATCACCATATGCAAATGTATCCCATAGCCCTTCAAGTCTTCAGCACTAAATTAAGTAACTGCATAAAGTCTCATGAAATAAAAAGGAGGAGGGTCAAGGAATGGCTTGATCTAAATCACGGCTTAACTACCTCGTAGGGATTGTTTTTCTACTTAGGGTGGGGGTGGGGCTATAGCTGTAAGTGAGTGTGCCCCAAAGAGCACATACTCACCTCCAAATATGTCCCCCAAAGGGAAACTTAGCTTGTTTCATGGGCAGTGCTGTGTGCCTTTCCTTCTCTGCCCCAAATGTCCAAATATGTGCACATGTGGTTATTTCGCCTGACCAGCTAAGTCAAGGTGTTCAGCCAGGACAAGATGCTTTCTGCTCTACAGAGGAGGAGGTGGCCTTTACTGAGCACCTTCCAAAGACCTGAAAGTTATAATGTTCATCAGATCCACTGAGGCCCACGAGTAGGAGAATCACCCCCATCACACTGTAGAAATGAAACTGAGTTGCAAAGAGATTAATTTACCTGAAATCGTGCCATTTGCAAGTGACAGTTCTGAGACATGAACCTCAGCAGTGTGATTTCAGGTAAGTTTTACCCATATGTCATCCTGCCTCTGGGCTTCCTAGAGAAACCCTTCCAGGCTAGAATTCCACTCCACATGCTACTTGGCCTGGCATCTGTAGCCACTCAAATAATAACAATTCTGTCTTCCTCCCTGTCCAGCAATCCCGTTTCACATCTGTAATAGAGGATGTGCTTTTTCAGACAGACTCTTTTCCAGGGCAAGGAGGAGATGGGGATGCTGCCTGAGGGATGCTCTGAATGGAACAAGGATCTGAAGTGGTAGAACATCTCTGCGGGTATCCCCAAATATGAAGGACAAGCCGGGCGGTGGTGGCGCACGCCTTTAATCCCAGCACTCGGGAGGCAGAGCCAGGCGGATCTCTGTGAGTTCGAGGCCAGCCTGGGCTACCGAGTGAGTTCCAGGAAAGGCGCAAAGCTACACAGAGAAACCCTGTCTCGAAAAACTAAAAAAAAAAAAAAAAAAAAAAAAAAAAAAAAAAAATATGAAGGACAGCAGCACGAGGTGTTTTGGTAATGATCTCTGAGACTCTAGAACATGAGTTACCCCTGTCAGTGTGACTCACCAGAAATATGCTCAGAGCTTCATACATTCAAGGTAAGTTGCTTAGCCAGCCTGCTAATGGAAGGCCCTGAGCTATTTCCTGGGGATCCAGAAGTGACTATGTCATCATCTCTTCCTTGGATTAGCTTTAATCCTCCCCCCCCCCCCCCCACACACACACCCAGGAAATGATCAGAAACAAAGAGGACATAGCTTTCCCATCGCAGAACCTACTGGATGGAGATCGACTTCTGTTGGAATTCCAGTACCTTGTATCCTGAGACAGAACTGGTCCAACTCACAGTAGCAGAGCTGCTGGATAGGCAGACAGAAGGGACGCTGGCACAGAAGGTACAACAAGACACTTGGATGACAGTCACATATCTGCTTGCCCAGGTCATGGGGGAATCATCAGAAACAGGCTATAACTCCGGATTTTGTCTACCCAATCATAAATTTATGTGGTAAGTACTGTGTTTCTAATGGTCTTGGTCATGGTTGTACATCTCTGAAAATCTTGCCTCCAGAGCAGATGGCTGCCCCATAGGAAAGTCATCCTAACCCCAAGATTCCTCTGGATACTTAGGGCTGTCTGGGTTCTCTCTCTCTCTCTCTCTCTCTCTCTCTCTCTCTCTCTCTCTCTCTCTCTCTCTCTCTGTGTGTGTGTGTGCTAGGGTGTGGTACGGTGTGGTGTGGTATGGTGCAGTGTGTGTGTGTGTGTGTGTGTGTGTGTGTGTGTGTGTGTGTGTGAGAGAGAGAGAGAGAGAGAGAGAGAGAGAGAGTTCAGCTGCTCAGCATAGCCATAACAAAATCTTTAGGAGGAGTTTTGCTCTGGGCCTCTGCCCTCCAAGCAGCACACAGGCCATCCACCACATCCTGCCTCCCCACTTCCTCCTCTCCTTTCCCAGCTCAAGAAGGCAAGATGGGAAGTCTCTCACGACCCTGTGGCTTGGCTGGGAGGAAGCCTGAATTTGATATAGCTGCTTTCATGGGGCCTGGTAGGAGCATTTATCCCCAGGTCTGTACTTCTCTGTTCATCTATTTTTAGACTGGCCCTGCAGACCTCTCTAGGGGCTCAGACGGATGTCTCCAGTGAGGATGGTCTGAACCAGAGATGAGATGTGACTGCTGTGTGTCTGCCTGAGCAGGCCCAGGGAGCAGTCCAACGAAGCTTTTGCTTCCAAGTCAAGAAGAAGAGAAATAAACAGAATGCGACAACCTGTCCACCCTGCAAGAACAAGAGTGTAGGTCCAGATTCCTTCTTCCAGCTTGGCAGCGAGCCCTGGAGGGTGGCTGAGGGCCTGTGGTCTGGGAGCATGCGAAGAGTGTCACACTCAGTAGTCAGATCTTTCAACAGTCAATCAGAGCACTTAGGCCAGGACTGGCCAGACAGCTGCCTGTTGGGACTGCATTCCTACCACAGACTCCCCACTTAGAGAGTCACATCTGCCTTGCCACCCTGATCTCTGGACTCCAGAGTTGTGCACCAGCCACCTCTGGGGATTCTCCTTGCCTGCTTGCTCTGTGTCCCCCAAGATGTAGGTCTAATGCCACCATAGCCTTTACCACCTCAATATGATCACTATCTAGCTGTCACCCTTGTTGGACTAGGAGAAGTTGAGGGACAAGAACCACATCTTAGTCATCCAGTTCTACTGCAGGTGTGCTGCAGCATGTGTGCGTGGGGAGCATGGCGGGAAGTAGTGAGGCTGGACCAGCTTAAGTAGCAAGTAAAAGCTGAATCACCAAGAAAGGGCAAGTGACAAAAAGATGGTATAATCAAAGCCAAGAAATAGGAAACAGCTCTAAGGAGGAAAGACTAAAACTATAAAACTAGCTACTCCATGTTCCTAGTTTTATAGGTACTTAGAGAGCCTGTTAATTTTGGAAGACTTCATGAATTGACTATCAGTTCAAGAGACTAGTCTGAATTGGTCGAGCCAAATGTTATCTGTGTGAAATTAAAGCGTCGTCAAATATTGAAAATATCTTCTCTGGCTTGTCATCTATATCAGTCATATTCAGGAAAATATCATATCTGAAGTAAACAGACTTGACACTTACAATTCAAAAGAACCAGAATCCACAAGTTGTTCACAGGCACTGTATGAGGCAAGCCACTCCCTGTCACTCAGATGCTCTTCTGGTGATGCTTTGACAGATGCCTGCATGGCTCACTAGAGCTTAGTCATGCCCCATCGCAGAGCCCAGCAGGATGGGTCTGGACCCAGAGCTGGAGGAGGAGAGCAGTGAGTCACCTGGTGGTCAGGATGGAGAAGCAGGTACAGGGAAGGCAGACATTTAACTTCTCTGTTATGCCATTCTCATACTTGAGGATACTTGATGACAATGCCCCTCACCCCACCCCCCGACACACACACACACACACACACACACACACACACACACACACATACACACACACACACACACACACACACACACACACACACACACACACCCCAACTGAAACCTTCTCCTGCCATAGGTAATGAGGTTGGTTCTTTCTTTGGGGCACCAACCCACATTTGTCCTCTCTCTAGCCTCTTACCCATCTCCCCTTTAGGATTCAATGCTCCCTTTGAGCACTTCCCTGGCTACTTTGTCAACTACACACACCCCAGGTCTCAGGAGAGTGACCAAGCTCATCCAAGGTGCTCAGGGGTCCCCACCCTCTGCACCCTGAGTATCTATTTGGAGCATCTTCACAGAAGGGAAAATAGACAGGCATGAGATGTAACTATGGCTACAGTACTCACAGCTTAGAAGCCAGTGAAAAAACAAGGTAAGTTTAGAGTGCAAGTATTCAGGCAAGGGACTCAGGGCAGTGCAGTAAAGATGTGTCTGCTGTCAGCTGACATGGGAGGAGATGGCCATGGAGGCCTGAGGAGCAGTCCTTTAGAGGTGAGCAGGTGGTCTTTGGCATGAGCCCAGAACTACTATTGGCTTGGCAGAAGAGGGCCCCAGAGCTGTGATGGCCAGTACAAAGGACTTGAGTTCTAGGAGGACCCCAGAACAGTGGCCCATAACAATCTTACCAGAATGGGTACACTTTTATTGTTGCTTGGTCTACATGCTACCTTCCTCTGAATCTGAGGATTTGGGCATGGAGTGCACAGGCACATGTGACTTTTGAATGCTTCCCAGCTGATTCAGATATAACCACCTGACAGTGTGTGCCTCGAAATGGGTACTAGCTAGGCTGCATGTATGATTCTAAGGTCAGAAAGCAGGTTTTCTGCTTCATACTTAGCATTGTTCATCATGTAGAATGTAAATAAACATAAATTAAACAATTTATTAACATAAAAATGAAAATATGCATCTATATTACATATCAAATATAAATAATATATGTAAACATTTAAATTATAAATACATACAAGATATTTATAATAAATATAAATTATTACTGAAAGAATTAACAGACTTTCTGTGTATTGATTGATAGAGTTAAATAAGGTTGACTTAATTAATTAATCAGTTGGTAGGCAAAAAAAATATGATTGTGCAAGACTAAAAGAATTGGGGACCATGTAGAGAAAGTATTTTATCAACTAGTGTGGCTGGGTACAATTTGGTGTTACTAAGTGAAACAAGGATTTGTGTTAAACGTTGAAGATGAAAGTATAAAGCAAGCCAAGAACTCCATGTAACTCACAATTAATTATATAATCTGAGGCTTAACTGTGGCTTTGGAAACAATGCGAACCATAATTACATGTCCAAAGCCCAAAATGGAATCCCACAATGTTTGACATGTGGAACATAAGGATGATGGAGTGGCTCAGTCATCAGCGTGACCATGGGGCAACTCTGGTGCGTCACGATTCCACCTCATGGAGTTTTCATTACTCCCTTTTCCTGTGCAGTGAGTACCCTGGGCTGGGGGCACTTGATGGATGCAGATTGGTGTCTGAATTCAGGCTGGCCTGCTGTCTTCAAGACTCAGATCTGTGTATAGAATAGCCATGCAAATGAGCATGGGCCGAGGGCCAGACAGAATTAATCCAGGTCTAAAAAGCAATCAAGTAACAGGTGGCAAAGGGCAAAAGAAGAGGAAAACATGGCTGGGAGGAATGGCAATGTGCGTTTTAAGCTTCTGTAACTCACGGCTCTGTGATGTGCTCTTTTCTAAGCTCACGAGGAAACTTGCAAATGTAGGAAGACGTGGCGGAAACATTTCCAAATATTTATATAATGGGAGGGGGGTTTGTGTCAGAAGCTGGATTAAGGTGTTCAGCGAGCTCTTCTTGACACTGGATCTGGAGAGGGCCTCCGCACTCGCCCAGCTCTCAGTGTTCTTTTGTGCCTGGGCACCACTTGCCGCCTGGGTCATTTATCTGAAGGTGTTTGCCCATTTTCTCTATTGGAGTAGAAGGTCTCCAAGCTAAGAATAATGCCTGTCTTGCCCACTTCTGAGTCTCAACACGTGACCCCATGTTCAGTAACTGCTCACTGGTGCAATGAGTGGACAATACATGATGGTATGCCAGCAGCCATCCTGCGGGGAAAGTATCCGTAGGGCTGCTGTGTGTTTCGGCCTACAACAGAAAGCAAGCCGCCCTTCCCAGAGCCATCTGCTAGTTACACAGCTCTCCCTGCCCTCCCCTTCTCCCAGACTCTACAATGTTATTTCCAAACAAAATGATGTGCCAGGAGCTAATTCCTTTATTACGCATAGAAGTCATACAAATTAATTCAAAGAAACATCCCCAAAGAAATAAATATTTAAAAAACAGTGTATTCATGCCGGGCGGTGGTGGCACACGCCTTTAATCCCAGCACTCGGGAGGCAGAGCCAGGCGGATCTCTGTGAGTTCGAGGCCAGCCTGGGCTACCAAGTGAGTTCCAGGAGAGGCGCAAAGCTACACAGAGAAACCCTGTCTCGAAAAACCAAAAAAAAAAAAAAAAAAAAAAAAAAAAACAGTGTATTCATGAAAGAACAATGAATATATTAAAAGCTATTAACTTTCAATAATAAACATACAAATATGTTTTATTCTTGTACATTGTGTACCATGCCCATGTACAAGAATAAAGGAAACGTGCTGGTTATTTTAGAAAGTGAGCCTTCTCATGAGCAGATAGCTGGGATGTAAACTGCCAAGCTTGGAAACAGAAGCAACCCTTAAGATGTGCATACAAGCCCTTCACCCAGTAAGTCTAACTCAGATAGCTTAGATGTGTACTTTTAGGGTGGTGAGACTTTTAACTTTCCTCTGAAATTGACTCTTTTAGCAGGTAGGCATGTATGCTTTTATTCCACTTTCCATGTGTGTGCATATACGTACAATTATGCCGCTTACGTCTGTTCTTCATCAGTTAACAGGTTTTTTGGTTTTGTTTTGTTTTGTTTTTTTTTTTTTTTTTTTTTTTTTGGTTTTTCGAGGCAGGGTTTCTCTGTGTAGCTTTGCGCCTTTCCTGGATCTCGCTCTGTAGACCAGGCTGGCCTCGAACTCACAAAGATCTGCCTGGCTCTGCCTCCCAAGTGCTGGGATTAAAGGCATGTGCCACCACCGCCCAGCCAGTTAACAGTTTTTACTCTTACATGCTCAAAATATAAGCCCATTAACATGTTCATCACTTTAAGAGTGAAGTTGGGTGGCATCAAGTCAATTCACTTGGTTGTTCAGCCATCACTGCCACCCATCTCCAGAATTTTTATCATCTCCCCCAGCTGAATTTCTGTCCCCACTGAACACCAACTCCCCAGATTCCGGCCTCTGACTAACCTTCCGCAAAGCACTAGTCTATTTTCTGCCTCTACAAAGTCAACTATTCCAAATATTTATTTTAAGGAGATAAGAGCACAAGAGTAAAACATGTATGCACAAAAGAAATATTCATTCACTCAAACAACTTTCCTGAGGCCCTACTATGTACCATGTCATAAACAAGAGACATGAGGTCACTTGACTTATACACAAGTAATAAGGAGAGCTGAAAACAAGCATGCAGACAGTACGGAATGAGGTCGGGATAAGTGTCATGGTGTGTGTGTGTGTGTGTGTGTGTGTGTGCATGTGTGTGCATGTGTGTGTGTGTATGTGTGCGTGTGTGTGCGTGTGTGCATGTGTGTGTGTGCATGTGTGTGTGTATGTGTGTGTATGTGTATGTGTGTGTATGTGTGTGTGTATGTGTGTGTGTGCGTGTGTGTGTGCGTGTATGTGTGTGTATGTGTGTGTGTGTATGTGTGTGTGTATGTGTGTGTGTATGTGTGTGTGTGTATGTGTGTGTATGTGCGTGTGTGTGTGTGTGTGTGTGTGTGTGTGTGTGTGTGTGTGTGTTCGGGTGCCTGTTGCCATGCCACAGCTTGCACATAGAGGTCAGCAGACAACCTCCTCCTGTGTCAGCATTTGTCTTCCACGTTGTTTGAAGTGGGGTCTCTTTATTGTTGTTGTTGTCCACTGCTGATTATGTAAGCTTAACTGGACCCCAAACTTGCAGGATTTCCCATCCCTACCTGCCATCCCACTACAGGGGCTCTGGGGCTACAGATGTACACTACTGCATTGAACTTTCTGTGGGTTTTGGGGGTTGGAACTCAGGTCCTCACTCAAACATAGCCAGAGCTTTACCCCCTAAGCCAGCTCCCCAGCCCAGGATAAGGCTTATGCAGAAAGTAAGTGAGCAGTGGGAGTGACTTCAGGGGTCTCTTTAGATTGAGTAGTAAGAGAAGGGTCTCCCAGGCACCGGTTGCAAATTAGAACAAAGCTCAGCACCCTTGCTAAGCCAGAGCCTACCCGGACGGTGGGAGACAGTTCACTGCAGAGTAAAACCCTTCTCAGAACCGACTCCATCAATTTGCTGTGCCTTTTGTGGGGTGTTTTCCTGGAGAAAAAGTCACTCTCACCTTTTCCGGGTAGAAAGTACTTTGGCAGGGGCACATGCCAATGCTCCTTTATTCTGAGAAGGAATGTACAGATGACAGTTGGGAGTGTTTGATGTCCAACCCTCCCGAACAGTAAGAGAGCAGCAGTGTGAT